AAAAAAAACCCGCCCCGCCCGCAGGTCAACGTGGAGCACCTGACGGAGAAGATGAAGACGACGGTGCAGAGGGGGCTGGTGCTCAGGTTTGTGGTCAACCAGGGGGTGTCGGGGGGCGTCTGGGGGGTGGCTGAGACCTGTCACACTCATCACACCCCCCACCCTGTGTAGGAACGAGCGGTGCAACGAAAACTACACCACGGACTTCATCTACAGCCTCTACTCCGAGGAGGGGAAGGGGATCTTCGACTGCAGGCAGAACGTCCTGGGGCACATGCAGCAGGTGGGGGGACCCCCCCTCACCCCTGGGGAAGGGGCTGCCCCCTCCCCTGGGCTCTGCCCCCTCCCCTGGGCTCTGCCTCCCCCTCGTTGACCCCGGATTGTCCCGGGACAGGGGGGCAGCCCCACGCCCTTCGACAGGAACTTCGGCACCAAGATGGGCGCCAAGGCCGTGGCCTGGATCACCGGCAAGATCAAGGAGTGTTCCCGCCATGGTGGGTGCCCCCCCTGGGGCTCCCTGGAGGATTTGGGGGGTGGGGAGAGGGGTTCCCACTCTTCCCCACAGCCAGAGGCAGCCCCCAGCCCTTCCCCGGTGTTCCCCCACGTCCTGACACCCCGAGGGACTCGACCCCCAGAGCCCCCTCCCCGCTGAGCAACAGCAGCTCCCGGGAACACAAACCCCTTTTCCCCACCCTAAATCCTTCCATCTCTGGGAACCCAAATCCCTTTTCCACCCCCAAATCCTCATTTTCCCTTCCCCAACCCTTCCACCTCCTCAGACCTGTGAACCCAAACCCCCTTCCCCCACCTCGACCCTTCCACCTCTGCAAACCTAAACCCCTTTCTTCCTTCCATCTCCTCAGATCTGTGAACCCCAAACCCTTTCCCTCGCCCCAACTCTTCCACCTCTGTGAACCTGAACCCCTTTTTTCCTTCCACCTCCTCAGACCCGTGAACCCAAATCCCTTTTCCCCCCAAACCCTTTTTCCTCCCCTCAATCCTTCCACCTCC